CCACTGACATGGTGGAGGGAATTCCTGCATGGTCACTGGAATCTGTGGGGAGAGGCTGGGAGTATAAAAGCCTTTACAAGGGTTAAAGTGTGCCATTCAGTCAACTTTTCTCTGTCGAGGTTTGTTATGTCTTTGTACTGCTGGATCACAGCAGTGCAGTGAGAGGCCCCCAAAGGGACTCTAATTCAGTTTTGTCATGAAACCCTCCTTCCTGATGGTGGGTACTTCTGGACAAGCAGGAGATGGTAAAATCACCTCAGGGGGTTGCCTTTATAGATGATAAAATCGCCTGTAAAGGAGGTTGTGTTTACAGACATGTCTGAGTCCATCACAGGACAGAAACTCAGAAACTCTCCAGCATGACTGTATAAAATTTGACTGGAATTACCATCTATCAGTTTTTATTCCAATTCCTTTCTCTCAGGGTGGTGAAAAAAATCTACATTTCCCTCAATTAGGTTATTGATGCAGCTCTGCACTGAGACAGTGATGGTGCCCAACCTTCAGCTTTAAGGGTTTGGACCACAGGCAGTGGGTTGCTGGGTATCTCTGAAAGCAGTGGACATAGATGGGGCAAATGCTTTGGAGCTGTGAGAGGATGCTGTAAATCTCTGTCCCCTTGGGACCTGCCTATGGCCCTGCCCGTGGCTGCCACTTCTGTGAGGATTTCCTGAGCATCAGAAAAACCTTCCAAAATCACTTGGCAACATTCCATGAACCAGTTCCCCCTTTGGTCTTTTCTAGTCTTCATATGTGGCTCCAAGCAACTTTTCTTTCAGAGAACTGTGGTGTCTTAGTGTGTCTGATGCCTTCAGGCTGAGTGCTGGTGCTGCTGAGTGCCCTGAGCAGCACAGGAACTCTTGCCAGTTGCTCACAACAGGCTCAATTTGAACTGTGAGAGCTGGGAATCAAAACATGATTTTGTAGAAAGCATCAGGTCATATCAAACAACAGGTCCAAGTACACAGTTTCCTCTGCAAATAAATGTTGTGAGATCTTAAAATACATGGAGAGAGATCAAGGCCACCTAGAGACAGGAGTCCTATATTTTTATCATAATCTTCATTATCATCATCACCATTATTATTATTGTTATTGACATTATCTTTGATCTCTCTGTTGTCTCATTTGCTGCTTCTTGAAGGCAAGGCAGCAGTTGGCTTTCCCAGCCTTCCTTAATAACTTCCTTTCCATCAAGAGTGCAGAAAGCACATGCTAAGGCAGAATTTAAGTCTTTGCATGTGGCTTCATCCCACCACAGCCACAGACTGGCCTCACCTACAGTTTGCGCTGCAGCCTGTATTTTAACTTCTCCAGCTTGACCTTGGGTTTGGGATCTGCACTTTAGTAAGAGGAAGAGCAGCTGAAATGAAGGGATCTGACTCTTGCTCCAGATCTTCCCAAACCATGGGAGTGTGCCTCTTGCACAGCTCCGGTCTGAACCCATCTCTAAATATAACCATAATGCAATAAAATGCACAAAAAAATCACCCCAAAAAACCCCAAGAAATATGTCCAACAGTGGTTATTACCACAGTTACATCACAGCAGAAACAGGTGCAAGGAAATAAGCCTCCCAAAAGTTTCTATTCAGGAGGGAGATGACTGAAGAAAGCAGAAGGAAAAGAGGAAGGCAGAGGTAGGGGTAGGAGCCAGGGGACAAAGCAGAAGTTGTTTCTCTTGGGATGTGGCCAACTTAGTAGCTGTCCAAGCCCAAGAGATGTCTTGGATGCTCCTCCTTTAACTGTCTTTGCAGTTTCCATTTTAAGGCTGCCTGCCAGCAGAGTGTGTGCCCAGTGCTGCATTGCCCTCTGAATGCCCCACTGCCTGGAACCTCCACAGAACTGTGCTCAGCCCTGATCCGAGAAGACACACTTTCTTCTGAGCAGATTTTGCATGAATTTCAAGGAATCCTTCAAGGACTCATCAGCTCAAATGATTCTTTCTGCCCCTAAACTATGGGGAAGGAAGGGAAGCGATTATGGGAAAGCTCACATTCCTGCAGCAGCTGCAGTCACTTTGGGTGGGATTCATCTGACTAAACACAGAGGCCTCCATCTGAGCTAGTCACATTAGGCTCCCTTTATGGAGGAGAATATGGGGAAGCATAGGCACAGCTATGAGTCACCCCTCCTCGTTTCAATGCCTAGAACAGGTCAAGCGAATCATGCCCATTTCTCTTCTTTGCTTTTAAAGGGAGCTGCAATGAAGGGGCCAAGTGTAGGTCTGTAAAGTTAGACAAAACTCATCCTTTATCTGGTGTCCAAACCAAATGATTTGATGTGGGACCAAAGGGCCAAGCTGTGATGAGGGCATTGCCAGCAAATGCTGAGTAACCACAGCAGAGTGGGGTAAATTGTCTCACCCGCAGCTTATTTCACTGTGGGAGAGGATGCAAGGAGTGCAGTGCTGGAGAGGAAATGGCCTAAGAAAAATGCCTATAAAAGTCACCGTGGGACGTCACCCTAGTGCCAAGACTATGTTTACTTTGAACCAGATCAGGTACCTCTGCTTTTCTGTTTGCAGGCAAAAGTTACTGCACTCCTGACACCACTGCAACTTGGTGTGTGACCAGTTACTTCCCCCCTCCCAGCCCCTCTTTCCTTCCCACTTCTCCTTTCCAGACATCAGTACAGCAGGCCCATCTTCAGATCCTGTGGAGCATCAGGGGGTGCTGGCTCAGCTCTGCTGTGTCCTTTTCCCAGATGCCTGGTTTCGTGCTGAGCTGTGTGTCAAAACAGAGGAGCATTTCCCATGCAACGTGGGCTTCAGGGACACGTAGGGAAAGGAAGTGCAGAGGTTGCCAGAAGCAGCAGTGAAGTTATGGTATTATCTGATGAGAAAAGTGATGAAACAATAATGCTTTTGAGCATGTCATGAACCAGCTCCTCTCTTGAGGGTCTTGCGCTGAGGACCCTCAAGACCTTATGAGCATCCATGGCTGTAACCTACAAGTAAGAGTGTGAGGCACACACAGAAGGTAAAGAAATAGTTAGACAGAGCTGCTTCAAGTCCATTTCCCCTCCGACTCTTTTCTTTTCTTTTATTTTCTCACCATTGAAAGACAAACAAAAGCTTAAGTGATGTCATGGGGTAAAGCATTTGTGAAGTTCCTTGCTGCTGCATCCCAATATGCAGCAAGCCTCTTAACTAACACTATTTTTTTCATTCACCAGAGGTGACATACAAGAACTATGGCAGTGCCTGGCAGAACAAAGCAGAGTGCAGAGGAGACATGAGGGTTTTCAGATCTACTGTGACTGGTTCTGCTCAGCCCTAACCTGCAGCTTATGCATGGGCCAAATGCCAAGGTTCCAACTCCCTGCTGTAGGTTGTTGGCTGACAGAGAGGGGCTGGTGCTCTAGAGGATTTTAGTTTCCCTCCCAGAAAAAAAAAAAAAAAAAAAAAAAAAAAAAAAAAAAAAACAAACAGAAAAGTGAGTTAATTTGCTTAAAAATACAACAAACAAATGAACATGTGTGTATGTGTATATATTTGCACCTGCACATGATGTACTTTGGAAAGACCTAGAGAGAGGGAGTCTCCAGAAGCTCATATTAGAGAATTTAGTACCTCTCCTGAACTCAGGACTTAGGCTCCTCAGTCTCAGCAAGATGCTCAAGGACAATTTGTGCTGGGACTTTTCAGAGATTGCCTTTCTTTAGCTGACAGGCAGAACTGTGAATCTGGTGCCTTTAAACCTGCCAAAGGATTTAGTATCAAGGCAGCTCCTTGCTCCGTGCTCTGATATTTCTGGGAAAGCTGGCTGGTAAGTAAGGAGAGGAATGTTCATTAAGTGCCCTCCCTTGGAGTTAAAGGGCCAAGCACCCTTCTGCTCCTCCTCCTTCACCCTTCTACAAGAAGCTCACTGGGGATAAATAAAATGGTTAAAGGTGCATGCTGAGAAAATAGCCTGGTAATTGCATTGCCCCCATGGTGGAGTGGCTGCCTGGGTGAGTGCTGGTTCCTGTTCCCTCCCACCGACCACAATCCCTCTCTGGGACAAAGGCCATCTTTGCTTCTCATTCATTAACACACTGCCTGAGTGATTGGTGTGTTTGAGCCAAGAGGCCTGACCTGCTCTGTAGGATTGAAACAACCTGTCCCAGATCACCTTCCTCACCAGAGATGCTAATGCATGGGATGGGTTTCCCAGGGATCCTGTGTGCCTGCACCCCATGGCTCCATTGCCTATTAATAGAAGTAGAGGAAGAGATTGGAAGAGAAGAAGATCCCAGTTCTTTCCTGGCAGTGCCTAGCTCTGCTTGGGTGGAAACCTTTCCTCAGTGCAGTGCATCACCTCAACCCTTGTGCACCACATTTTCTACCTATCATCTCTACTAGCATATCTTTATTTTTTGCTTTAGAGGGCTAAGAGTCCACCCCACACAGCTGAGCCCTCTGTAGCACCCATACAATCTTTTTGCCTCACACTAAAGCTCCTACAATTTTCTCCTTCTTATATCCGTTGCTTTCAGCAGTATGTATAAGAAGCTTTAAGCTTTCCTAAAGGTGATGAGGGAGAAACAGCTGAAACCATGGATTTGCCTCCTCCACCAAGAAACAGATCCAAAAATGTTTCACTGTTTCAGTCCATGGAAAAATAGAGCTGGACTGGACCCCGTGCAGCTCTGGGCTTGCAGTGCTCCAAGAGCCAAACAGGCATATAGGCACTCTAGCTTTAAGAATTGATTTCTTAAGTGAACTGTCAGCTCCCGGTGGCTGGAAAAATCTGCAAACAATTTCTAGTCACTGAACAAAGCAAATCTTTGTACTGTGCTGTAATAGTTCATTATTAAATAAAAGCTCCTTTGTTAGGCTATAAGAAATGGTGTGTACTCCGCCACTCTTGACAATGTGCCTTGGTGTGACTTTGCAATGCATATGAAATTCTCTTTCACATCCTGTGAAAAGATGACATAGTGTGTAATTTTAATTTTGGTAGGAAAAGCTCAGGGTGAAGCAAATATCACAGCACAGCTCTGGTGATTGAACTTTATTGCTGGTGCATTTGATTCACAACCATGCAAGAGAACACAGAGACTGGACTTTATCTCATTTGCAAAAGAGTAAATGAGGAACAACATGCAAAACTGACTAGTGACAAGACTGAATGAAAACTTTAGCAGCTGCAATTCCTACAAGTTGTGTTACTTTCTGGGCTGTCTTATTGCAGTTCCAGGGTTAAATGAGTCAAAACAGGAATCAAAGGGCTTCAGTGTTTTCCTATCCAGAAAAGCAAATGTGTTTCCAGCTCCCTCTTTTCTCTCCTTCACTCTGCACCCAGTGAGTTCCCATAATCTGCCAGTTTGGGCCCCAGAGCCACAGAGCCCTGTCACCCTGCTCAGCAGCTGCTGCTGTTGCCTGCTGATGCTGCTTTGCAGCAGACCAGGCTGAGGCACGGGCATGGCAGCTGTAAACCCTTCACCTGTACCTTTTGTCAGGCTGTGACGTTTCAACCAACCCCATCGCATTATGGTTTAAGATTGTATCCCCCAAAGATTTTCTTCTCTTGCAGTATTTTGCATGGGGTTGGCAGTGCATTATCAGGGATGTAGTTTTTCTGATCCTTCCTTTCCTCTGTCACATCATCAGGGCTATGGGAAATCCCCAGAGCTGGTACTTCCCTCTCAGCTGGAAGAGGCAGCAGCCAGGGCTGAAGTGGGCATTGGGCAGGCCATTTCTCAGAGCCCTGTCCACTTTTGTCTCTTGGCTGGGCTTAAATGAGGCTTTTCCAATAAGTGTCCAGCTCGGCTCAGGCTGAGGCTGCTAATTCCAACCGTGTGGGTGATTCATATGCCATCTAATAATAGCAGCTTCTGGCCATGCCAGCACAATAGCTGACCATGGAAAACTCCACACAGCCTTGGGCTGCCAGCCCATCGGCCTTCCCAAGCCGAGCTGGCCACGGCTGGTGGTTTGTCTTTGAGGGCAGCACTGTGCAGCTCAGCAAGAGGCTGCAAACTGGGCTGTGAGCTCAGCAAGAGGCTGCAGACTGTGCTGTGGGCAGTGCTGTGGGCAGCGCTGTCCTCCAGCCCTGGGCCCTCTGTCCCAGTGCCAGGGCCACCACCGGGCTAGCTCAGGAGCTGTGCAAAATGGACTGCTCCTCCTGCTGCTTTATATAAAGCAGTTGCTATTAATTACCTGCACCAGAAGCCAGCTTAGGTAGTTTGCTTTCAAGGGCAAAGCTCTGTTTGTCCTTACTTGCCATCCAAATGCTGTTTAGAGCATATGCAAAAATCTGCTCTGTGGCTGCCAAATTCATCTTGGCTGCAGAGTCAATGCTGTTCCTGCTACTGAAAGGCAGCAGGGGCTTTGATTGGGATGCCTCATTCACTTGTTTGGATGCTTCCAGGAAGGAAGGGTGATGACAGGGCAAAATGACACACATGTTCCCCAGACAGACTTCTGCATCACCTTTTTCCATGCTCCAGTGGGATTTACTCTGCCCGGTGTTTGACCATTTAAAAATGAAGGCAGGAAAGTGGTGGTGGAGGCTGGAGAGGTCTCAGTCCTAGGAACATGAGGCTGAAGCCTTGACAGGTGATGGCTCTCTGTCTTGGCTGCAGACCAAAGGCAGAGCAGGGTGGGGGCAAGAAGCTCATGGCTACCCTGAATTACAGCCCCAGTCAGTCAATTAAGGATCTCCCTTCACAGGGGACAGTGGTCCCAGCAGAGCCCATGGATGGGAGCAGCATGCCCACAGTGGGATGTCTGTGGCAGCCAGGCTGGCACTGCAGGCTGGCCACAGAGCAGGCCAGCATCCTGATTCCCACAGCATGGCAGCACTGGGCAGCCTTGGGAGCTCGGGCACAACGATGGTTCTTGCCCCACTGCTTCCAGCCCTGTGAGCTGTGGCCAAGCTGTGGAAACAGTGCGCATCCAGGGCAGACAGGGTGACTGCTGAATCCTCAGAGGTGAGCTCAAATGCTGGAAGGGGATTATTAGAAGCTAGAAGGCCAAAGTGTGATGGAGCCAAGGAGGTGTGTGAGACTGAGCAAGATGTGACAGCACAGTGAGCAGTACTTCAGCACAAACCAGGCACCCAGCCCCACTGGGTGGAAGGACAGGGGCAAAGCAAACCCCTCCCCTCCTGCTCTTAAACCCTGTCGCTGCTTCCCACACAGGGGTCCTGCACCCCAGAACTTCAGAACTGGCAGCTGGCTGGGCGGGCCAAGCTGTGAGGCCATTGCTCCTTGGACACCATCACTGCCATGGCCCTGGCTCCCACAGCTGTCCCGGAGGGCCCCAACTTCCCAGCAGTCATGGGGCTGTGCTCTCACACCACCCACACAGCAGCTGGGGGATTTTCCTGGTAAGCAATTGGCTCATTGTTTCACTTTTGCCATTTGCTTGCCTTTCAGGAAGGTTTTGCTTTTATTCCTCCCCTGACCTAAGCTGGAGTTGGGGTTTTCCAGACCTGGGGTTAGGGTGGTACAGGTCAGCTCCCTGTCCCAGCTGTGCTACCTGGGGAAGGACCTGGAAGCCAGGCACCCAGGTTCACTTTACTTGTACCAGGGGTGATGAAGCAGTGATGGTGCTCAACTCCTGAGGGCTTCAGATGTGTTTTTTGGAGACCTCCTGTATTGCAAGAAACATGGTATGATCCCTGGAGCCAGCTCTGAGATAGTCATATGTGGCCACAGTTTTCAAGGACACCCCCAGTTTTAAACTGAGCTGGCTCCATTTTTGCAGAGTAGTGTCTCTAAAATTACTAAATTCTGTCTGTTTCCTTTGTTTTTCTTCCTGTAAATCTGATGTTTTCATTGCAGTAGACCAGCACTTATCAGCTCAAAGACTGACCAAATACTTATGCTCAGCAAACGCAGTGCTGATTTGCAGCAGCAAATCTAAGCAATGCCACTGTCTAGGGTACACTGGGAACAACATCTGGGGTTTTGAGGCTCTCCATATTCAAGTTTAGCACAAGGCCAGCCAAGCATGGGATGGCTTAAGTTAGGACAACATTGTCATAAAACTCATCATCTGTGTAGGATAGGGGAAGAGAAAGCCTGACAGTCTGCAGCCTGTTCTCTTGAAGGAAAATACTTTATTTGAGAACATGCACAAAGAGAGGAGGATCCAGTTCACCAGGCTCATATTTAACTGGGTAGATCAAAGCCTGCACTATTTGCTTCAGGACTGTTGATTTTGGTTTTGACCAGCTCCTCCTCCACAATAAAAAGTCCAAGGGGATTTTGTATTCTCCTGGGCTTTCTGCTGAATGGGGTTCTTTGCACCAGAGCTTCCAAGCAAAGCTTGGCACACAAGCCTCTGAAACTATGGGAGCTGCAAAAGGCAGAGCTGACCCTGCAGCAGGCGACCTCAGCCCACAGCCCTGTTCCAAACAGAAAGCCAGGCCCTGGTTTTAGCATCAGCAGAGATGGGGGCAAGAGGATTCCGTATTACATTTTGCTGGCTGATGCTCCAGCTCTCCTTTTCTCTGCTAATGCTCCGGCTAAACTGGAGCCCGGCACTTTCCGGCTGCCCGTGCCAAGCAGAGCTCAGGTGAAGAGCAATTGAAACCCAAGACTGCAACCTAAGATGTCTCAGGGTACAAGGGTAAGCAAGAAGTGCTACAGTGGTTCAAGACTGCACTCCACAGAGCTAAGAAAGGCATTGCTGCCTCCCTGACTGTGTGGCTAAGCCTCTACACAGCTTCAAGCATTTGCTGTAATTGGGAGAAAACAGCAGCAATCTCCAAGAGACCAGCCAAGAAGAGAAAAAAATAGCATGCAGTATTTTTGGTTTTCCCCTATGCTACAGACCAGCCTTGAGAGGAGGAGGAAAAGGCAGGGGGTGGCATCCATAGCAAGGGAAGGACTGGACACAGGGCAGGTGTGGGAGCTGATGGGCAAGGTGCCACTGGGATTGCTCACGCAGTGCCAGCCTGCAGTGAGGTCACATGCTGGGCCTGGACTGGGACTCTGCACTGCCAACTTCAAAGTGACATGAATTCCCTTAACTCCCTACAACAACAACAACTAAAATAACCAAACAAAAAACCAACCAACCACCCAAACAAACAAACAAACAAAACAAAAACCAAAACAAGCGTGGCATGGTGTGTCCTATGGCGTCCAAAGGAGAGCTCTTGTCAGCTGGATCAGCCCTTTCCTACTCCAAAAGTGATGTGAAGAGGAGACAGCAGCCTTGGAGCACAAACCACCCTGCTCCTCCCTGGATGGCTGCAAAAGGCAGCTTGATGTGCTCCTGCTGGAAGGGAACAAAGCCCAGTGCCCACACGTGCTGCAGCAGACTTTGCCACTGATGGCAGCCCTTCGCTTCTGCTGCTCCAGCCACGAGCCTCTGGGGCAGCCATGGGCACGGGGCTTTACCACTGAGCTACACAGCTCTGAGGAGTCTGTGCCTCATGGCTGCTTTCACACAAAGTGTGACTTGGGGATTTTTAGCCCTCTTTTACATCTGCAAACTTCTGATGAGAGCTCAAGTTCAGCTTCTGCAGCAGGATGATGCAGACCATTTTTTCTTCTTTGAAGCTCCCTCCAAAAAGCCATATTTAAACAATGCCATGCCATGGGGTCCCACAGACAAAGTTGAAGGAGTTTACTAAAAACAGCTGACTGGAGGCTGAGGTGGTCAGCGATGACAGGGATGAGATATATCTGCCCGTTCCCAGCAAGAACCTTCCAGATAAATAAATTTGCCAGTGAAAACATTGCCCTGATTCCTTGGCACTGTGGGATGTGCTGTAGGACTTCAAAACAAAACTGCCTCAAGGCAAAATAGGAAAAGTGAACTTTTCCTATGTCTTGGAAGGGCTGGCTGTTCATATAATGGAAACGGGAAGTCTTCAAGCAGCAAAGGTGCAGCAGGATCCATGCTCAGGATGGGGAAGCACATATTTCTCATGGCTCTCCCTCAGAGAATGCTGCCTGGAGCCACAACCCTTTTTCTACCCAGCTCTGTAGGTGCCTCTGCTTTGGGATTTTTCACTAAGCGTTGCTATAGGAACTTAATTGCTTCTGTTCATCCAGGTCTGAGCAGCTCCCTGCTCCCACTCCTCCTCTCCCAGGGCTGGCAGCGTCGGGGCTCTGAGGACAGCGGAGGATGCTCAGGTACAGCAGGAGTGGGGTCGTTCAGCTCAGCTAATTAGCGCTACTATTTCTGTCTCTGGCCTTTTCTCCGTTTGTATCCATCTGGGGCTCTTTCAGTCATTATAGAGCTTTCCACCCTCTTGTTTTTTTCCTCTCTCCTCTGTCTTCCAGATTTTTGCCACTGTTTCATGTTGCCGTCCAAGTTATTTGTCTCTTCTCTCTTGCTCCGGTCGTGGGAACATTAGTAATGTTTTTCTGCAGAGCAGGGTGGCTCAGAGACCGCCTGGCAGGCCTGACAGCCATCCTAGTGCTGCGGGCAAAGGCTGGAGCAGCTCAGGCAGCCGATGGGGAACGATCCTGTTTGTGGTTCATCACCATCTGATCTCCCCACAGCCTCTCGCTCCCACCTGGACCCAACCGTGCGCGGCCGTGTGTCCGCAGCAGTCCGTCTGTCTGCTCCCCGCTCTCCTGCCGCAGCCACCCCGCGTGTGGGGCGAGGGGAAGCATGACTCACCCGGGCCTCCCACCCATGAGTAACAGTGTTGTTGGTCTATCACGTCTCAGCCAGCTGGGGCAGCTCAGAGGGAGGGCGGCTGCTTCCTTGGCAAGGCATGAAATAGGTCAGTCCGTCCCCAGAACACGGGGAAAGCAGGGGACAGAATGGGAGGCATGGCAGCAATGAGCAGCCTCACATCAGAGGCAGGAGCAGCACCCCATGGTGGGAAGGGCAGGCAAGGAGGTACACAGACATGGGCTGCGGGGATTCCTGTTAAACACTGTCAGTTCTTCCTTCTTCCTTGCCCAAACCTGCTCCTTTTTTTCCTGGGAGAGTCCAAAGCCAGTGAGGGAAGACGGGCAGAGATGGTGGGAACACAAAGCAGTTATGTGCTTCTCGGGGTGGAAAGAGGCCCAGGTTATTAAATAGCAGGCAATTTTAACATGAGTTATTAATACTAGTTGTTTGTACTGGGAAGTGGTGCCTAGGGGCTCCCATTGCACTAATCATGTAACAAAGCCGTGTTCCTAACACAAATAGCTTGTATTTCAGCCTGAAGAGAACAAGTCGTCTCTTTCCCATTACCCTCTCTTTGAAAAAGCAGCTTGAAGATTACACAGTCAAGCCCACAAAAGCTGGGAAAGGAAAAATATTACACTGGGCTGCCCTACAGTGCCATCACTTACACCCAGCCAGCCCAGTAACTCCATCAGCACTGTGGGCCTGGGTACACTGTCTGCCTTGCCCTGCTTCATCCCCGACCAAGGCAGGCCACCTCTTAACATGACTGGTCATTTTTGGGTTGTCCATCTTTGGGTTTGAGTGTCGTAATGTCATGCTACCTGTTTAGGGTGCTGGGGGGCTGTAGGGAGTTTTCTACTCCCTTGCTGATTAATGCTGTATATCTCTTATGTTTTTTCAGGCTTTGCAAACTGCAGTTTTCTCTTGGGTACATGCCCTTCTGAAGTAAGAAACTAATTTAATGAATTAAATTTATTAATTTACAGCCTTGGCACTAAAGCAGAGACTAAAGGTCAACAGCATCTGCTGATTTTGGATGGTACAAGCCACGACTGCCCTGCTATTTTTTGTTTTCCTGGGAACTTGGCATTATACTGAGCTTTACCACATGGCAACACAGGTCCTCCTGTCTCTGGCTGCAGCTTTGCACACGCAGCTTTCCATCAGCCCAATCCCAGGTCAGGCTGGAGGACAGGAATGTGACCTGGAGTCCCAGCCCTTCACTGCCCAGCTCTGGACATGCTATAACCTTGATGCCTGACCTCGCACTGCGTGGCAGCACACAGCAAATAACCAACGTGCTGAACAGGGCAGGGGGCCCATTGGCATCTCCTGCCCTCTTGACATTCATCCTGAAGTCGATCCAGCTGGTGGAGGAGATCCAGCTGGAAGATGGGCATGGAGGAGTTGGTTAAAGGTGAAGGTAGGGGTGCAAATTTCATGAGAGGGAGGGGCTGTCAGTCCAGCTGTGTGGGCTCCCTTATGGCAGCAGGCGTGCAATGCTGACCACATTGTTTGGCACAATGCTCTTGCACGCGTGCGTGTGTGCAAGACTTGACTGCATTGGTGTGTAAGAAGTGGGAGCTCCTCACCTCCCACTACCTGCAGGCAGCTGGTAAGGCTCAGAAATGCCTCTGTTGGTTCTGAGCCCCTGACAGCCATCATCTGTTGTCAGCATGGATCCTGCTGCTGACTCCCCAGTCCCCACAAGCCTGCTCCTTTCTCTGCTGGCCCATCATGTCTTTGTCTGAGGCTTGTTCCATCCCTGCTGCTGACCTTCTATGATCCAAGTTGTGGGGAAGCCATGTCACACACACCTATCCCCCAAAGTGAGCTGATGCTGAAGCACTGCCAGTCTCTGGGAGAATTTTGGATTGCAGCACATAAGCTAAGGCACCATGGCCACCATCAACCTCCCTTTCAAACTGCAGGGTCTGCCTCACCCCTACCACACCACTCCCAGGGCTCTCCTGCCTCACTGGCTTCTCACCTGGGCACATTTTAGGCTTTAGCTCTCCATTCTGCCCTTTGTCCCTCCTAAACCTAAGTCCTGTGCCAAATGACAAAAACTTAATAATGGTGAACAACAAACCGCAACAAAACAGGACACACACACACAAAACCAAAACAAAACAAAACAAAACTTTAAATGAGCAAATAACAATGCAAACTTATCTCCCACCACCTGGGAAATGGCTCACTTATTTTGGCTGAGGAAGGACTAAGGCGGAAGCTGAGCACTGACAGCTAACAGAGTGCTCTGGGTCTTGCCAAGGTGCCAGCAATGGAAAGAAAAGGCTTTGAAATTAGAACAGATCAGACACCTTAAGACCAAGCAGTGCTACAACATTTTCTATACCGTTTGCCACCACTAACTTGACATCATCCATAGCAACTGTACTCAACAGGAGCATTCATTGAACATGTCCAGCTTTGAAGATAACTGTCTTTGCAGATCACGCTGTAACCCACCTGAGTGGACATCTACAGATTAACCCAGCCAGGGGAACTTTCCTTCCTCCCTCCCTCTCTCCCTCCCATGCTTCTTCATGGGTGGGCAAGGCATTGTGAGACACCCTTGGCAAGCAAGGGATGGAAAAACAGCCCCCACAGGACAGCCCAGAGTTCAGCACAGCTTGGCGTTGGCCTCTGAACTGCTGACTGCTCCAGCAGCAGTTAACCAGGTCAGTCTCTCTCCTCCCTTCAAACACTTCATCGGTGTGACACTGCATTTTCTTTTGTTTTTCCACCCAACAGTCGTCAGCCATCTTTTTTTAGCAAGGAGGTAAACACCCTGTTTTGTTTTCCCATCTGTATTTAAACTGTGAATGGAGTGAAGCAACAAGCTGGGAAGCAGAAAGAGGCTGGTAAGCAGCTCTGAGTGGAAGCGATACAAGCACTGATTGCAACCAGGCTTTTCAGATGTATGAAAAAAAAGCTGCCTCCCCCAAGGAGATATTTCAGAAGCTGAAAGCTAAGAACTTAAGTACAAAGGCTTTTGTTTTTATTGACATTGTAAGAAACATTTTTTTCTTTGTTACAAAAAAGCTAAGTGGTTCTGAAAGCAGAAGTACAGTTCATATGTACACAGTGCTACAGACCCTTCAGATCAACCTAAGGCTTGAGAAACATCAGATCATAACTGCAGGTTTATCAAATGAAGACCACTAAGGTCTGTTACAACTGAACACTATTCCTACCGTACATAAATGTATTTACACATTCTCTTTTTTTTTTTTTTTTAAGGATTACAAGCTTTATAAAAAAAAATTTAAAAAAATTTTAAAAAAGCAACACTTTTTTTATCTTACACATCTGCAGGACTGACAACAGTAACTGTTCCATAGGAGACATTCCACCAATCCAAGGACAATAACACATGAATACCAGAGGTTTACAAGATGTTTTGGACACTATTAACAGTGGTATGTGCTATTAGCTCAATGGCAAGTACAGCCTCATCAGGAAAATTTGGCAACACATCCTGGTCCCTCTCTTTCACAGGGTCAACACAAAATAAGGCACATACATTGTGGGAATATAAACACTGCTGTCCAGGAGGACAAGCCATGGAGGGACAGGCCTGGGTGAGCTGACCAGTCATCCCACTGAGGAGGGGGGAATCAGTGATGGGAAGTCAGCAGCCAGCCAGCACCTTAATGCACGTACCACGTGGGGCCATTCCCCAAGGAGAGAATAACATCACCTGCCACGTGTGGATGTGTGGGACCATTTCACTCCCACGTGGAAGCCCAATGACTTTACTGCAAACACACCTTTCCGTCACCTGCACGTGGCTGACAGATAAACTCTTCACTGGCAACTTCCACTTTGTGAAAAGCGAAACTGTGTGGGGAAACACACACACTTCAGGCAGGCTGAGTGTTACTGGTGTGCCCAAGGCCGACAGAGATGCATATGGAAGACCCTCACAGAGCCATTACAAGAAATGGTGATTTAGACCTATGCTGCAATGCTCTAACAATAGAGCATTCATGATATTTTGTGCATTTTCCTGTACTCTTGGGTGAGCAGTGGGTTTCCAACAGCTATGCAAATATCAACTGATGTGCCACATACACAAAAACAACTCTGTAACTGGAAGAGTAGAGGGGTGCTAGTAACTCATCCCACCAGTGTAGATGGGACTTTCCCCAGACTGCCACATGTTGAGAAGGAGGCTGACAAGTGAAAGCTGGTGTCCAGTGTAACAGTGCCATGTTCAGAGAGACCAGTCTACCTTATCAAAACAGAACCAAAGTCTACCTTATCAAAAAGACCCAAGATAGCTGGGCTGTGATGTATTGCTACCCTCACAGGTACCAAAACCAGGCTCTTTAGTGTAAAACAGAAAAGCGTGAGAAAACACTAAAAGCTGAAGTGATACATGAACAGAAGTGGCACATACACTTAATGATGAAAATGATAAATCCTTTGCACAAACTCCCCAAGGACACAGTGGAGTCTCTGATTCTTCAGCTTTGCCAAATCAAATGGGATGCCTTTCTTGAGCATGTGGTTTCTGCCAAGACACACTGTTGGCCCAAGACAAGGCTAAGTGAGTGACAAAGGTTTGTCAAATCCAGGAAGGCAAACTGGCTACTCAAACAGTGCCTTTTAGCCTGGAGCAATATGAATGGCTCCTTCTAAGCTCTGATGGATCACATCTGTTAATAGCTTCCCAGCATCAATTGCACCAGCAGATACAATTATGAACTGGAAAATTGAGTTTAAAAAATAGTTGGGGATGTTTGGGGTTTTTTTAATGTATTGGTTCCATTACAATAAAAGACTTCTCTCCCAAGCCACCTACTCCCAGGCTGGTCATAAGTCTCCCTGTTGAAATTGTTTATAAACATGTAATTGATAGCTCTAATAAACAGCCAGGATTGGTTACTGAGAGCTATCTGAAACACATCCAGCACAGCCTTCCCTCATGCCTATAGTGCTGCTTCTCTGCAGGGCTGTGGGCTGTATCCCAGCACTGCAATGCACAGCACAGCCCTTGGAACATCCCTTGCCCTGCCCAGAGGGATGCATCCCTTCTTGTCCCAGCAGCACAGCAGCGACAATGGCTGTGTACAGGCAGCAGGTCTCTGCAGGCCCTTTGGGCAGCAGGGAGCAGCTTCCTCCCACTGGCACAGCAATGCAGTCACTGGCCATGGTGAGCTGTGCCCAGCTGCCCGGCAGCCCAAGGAGCACGGCAGGCAGGCTGTGATAGCTGGGCAGGGCAGGGAAGCTGGGAGGGGAAGTGTCAAAGGGAAGAGTGCAGGATGAGTGAATATGTGTGCATGGGACAGGGTAAGAAAGAAATGCTGGCTAAACATAACAAGAAAGACAGGAACTAGGTAATGATAAAAGGTGTAGGACATTTACATTTGTCTTGATTTCTGACATTCCAGCTCACAGTGCAAATCTCTTGGTGCGTGCTGTGATAAACTCAAACATGGCCCTTGCACCAAATTCCTATGATGTTTTCCTACTGATTTATACATTCATGCTCTGATTCCAACAGCTGTTAACAGATAAATGTTATCTGACAGCTTCACTGAGATTCAATTCCTCCACATTTTCTCAAATGCCATGTCCTGAATCAGCTGGTATTTCACCTTTTCTTTTACAGTTGGTTTTCTAGCCTACAGAAGTCACCTTCTGATTTTGACTGGGGTAAAGTTTGTCTGTATTTCAAAACTGACTACACTCCCTCATCTTGCTGTGTGTCTACTATAACATCAGCTCCTCATAGACATCAAACCCATGACTGTAGGTGCCTGCACAATCTACATCCCATAGTAGGACTTCGCTATTGGGATTTAACTGAGAAGTCTTCGAGGGTTGGAACTCCATACAGCTTCTAGGAGTGGGTGAATTTAAACCATGATTGTTCCCCACAGCAGGCTATTCACTCAGGAGCACTGTGTACTCATGGGTGCAGACATGGAGCCCAGCAGAGCCAAAAACAAGCCAGTGCTCACAGAGAAAATGCCATTCACCTCTACCAGTGAGCAGCTTAATGATCACAGTGCACTGCTTTCAATTTTTTGCCAGTGTGACTGACCCTGGGCATTGACCCACTGGTTTGCTTGGAAATTAACTGCACATGGTGTCACCAAGAAAGAGAGAAAGAAGCTGGGTTGGTCTTTCAGAGCTTTGATTAGTTGCCAGACAACTCAGTTGGTTAGAGCATGGTGCTAATAGCATCAAAGTTGTGGGTTTGATCCTCATACAGGCCATTCACTGAAGAGTTGGACCTGATAATAATTCCAGATCAGAATAGTCTGTGATCTGTGAATACTTGCTGTTCCCCTTGTTTCTTTGCTATTTTTAATGGCAGTTTTAATTTAATTTTGTAAAGCCTGGACACAGTGGAAAAACATTTAAGATTATCAGATTGCTTGCAACTGCTTTGATTTATTTGGCTAGTCTGAGAACTGGGCCAGCCATTCATTTTCTACTTCTTTTACATGACTTGCTCATGATGCTTTTGAAGCTCTATGTATCCATGGAGCTGTCTGGGCTACAGGGGAATTACACACAGTTCTTCCAGCAAATAAGAACCAGTGGCTCAGCAAGTTACACCTCAACAATTTGCATTAAAAAAAAAAAAAATGAATTCCCCAGTGTGAAATACTGCAATTTTGTTATTTCATTGTATGAAATACTTCCTAAGACCCTGACTGTACCTCCACAAATGTGATATGCAATGAGAAGACTGTAGACTACCCAAGTCACTATACGCACCCATAATTTTGCTATTCAGTCATTTAAAAAAGAAGGCTGAACACCAGAATACCAAATTCTGCAAAAGATGAGAGCTGGACTACGAACAGCTTTCTGGTCCTCTCCTTCCTCTGAAATAGGCTGAACATGACACAATCTCAGAACTGTTATTCAAGGCAGTGACAGCTATCTCTGTGTGGGTTTACAAAAACCATAAGCTTCTGCTAGACATCAAAGGGCTGATGATTTTTACATTTCTTATCTGCTTGAACCTCCCAACTTTTTGTGCTCCGTGTCTCTGAAACTGCAGCCCAGGAGTAGCATGGCAGTGCATTTCTAGGCTGGTTTTCCACCTCAGTGTGATGGGTCCAGTGCATCCAGAGAGGATTTCATCACTGTATGCTCACTTCACATTGTGCCTGGTTATAGGTTCAAGAGGAAAAATTGCAACAGTTTTACAAGGTCTGGATTCATTTGAGTAACAGAAAATTGTCATTTCATCAGGCCTTTCTTTACAAAAAAAAACCCCAAAGCAAAACAAAAGAAAGAAAACCCCACAACATGCACTTCACACGTTTACATTGGTTTACAGGTAAAAAACAAATGAAAAATAAAAGAAGCATACAGACATTTGAAAAGGGCACAAGAGAGAGAGAGAAAAGAGAGAAAGGGAGGGAATGGGCGTAGCAATACTGATTCAAAACTGAAATGGAAGACAGTTTCTCCCTAGAACACTTTAGGGTTTTCAGAGTCCTTATTCCATAAAAGGAATATACTTGAAACACATCCCATTTAGGTGAGATGAGATTGCTAAAATACATACACAACTAAAAAATATGAGTCTTTTTTTTTTCCATCTGTTATCTCCTAAGTGTTTTTTGTTTTTTATGTCTATTGCATAACAGCAAGAAACTTGCTTTCTTCTGCAAGTGAGGTCAACAAAGAGCTCATGTCCCCAATAGCCATGTTGGTTGTGCTTACAGGCATAGCTGGGAATGTAAGAGATGTTTGGGGAGTGGTGAGGCGTGAGGAATTGCGGGAGACATTTTGAATGATACTTGGGCTCAGGGCTCCCGAAATCAAGCTGACATGGTCCCCATCATCTATGATAGCATCAAAATCTATCTGCACACCCTCTAGACTGTTGTTGTCAATGCTGTCAACTGTGCTTGACACTTGGTTAGCCCCCGGGGAAAGAAGTTCAGATGAGTTTTCAGTTGCAGTCCCCTGCAGCAGGCAGCTGGCTTCTGAACCAAAGAAAGAACCTGTTTTCATAGCTTGGTGGCTAAAGCCCATGGTTTGGTCATACAACTGACCAGAGTAATTCTGCATGTTGGAGCAGAACTGCTGTGATTGACCTTGCATTTCCATCTTGATGGTGTTTACCCTGTACGTCTGGTTGCCATCACCTACGTGTCTTTGCTGTTGCGACAGGTTGTTTCTCAACATGTTTTGCCGTCTGTTGCTGCTGTAATTCGAGCATGATTGGTAACTTTTGGCCACTGACAAACCTGAAGGCTGGCTACCAATGGTGTGAGACACCAGTGGACAGCTCTGTGGCCCTTGATACAGGCTGCCTTGTGAGGTAGGACTAACCTGCCCTAGCATCATTTGACCAGATTGACTGACTCCCTGGTAACGAACACCTTCTCCGACTGGCTGGCTTTGCAAATATTCCTGTTCCATCATATTCCTGTCCTGTATCCCATTTGCCATACTGGTGGTTTGATCGCTGGATGCCAGGGGATGGCTGAAATTTTGCTGGTTCCCATTCACTGGCATGTTGCTGATTCTCAGCTTCTGCCCTTGCACTGCCATGCCACAGGAATTGTTTGTCACACCAGACATCATTGCTTGCCTGCCCATGCTTTCGCTGTAAGGCTTGTTGGACTGCACACTGAAAGAATTCCCAGCTCCGCTGCCAAGAGTCATATTTTGCTGTAAACTGTAGGAAGTGTTGTTCTCCATCAGGTTCCCATAGCCATTCTGCTGGGCCATGTTGCTTCTCTCCAGGTTCTGCTGCTGAACCATCATGTTGTTATGCAGTCTGAAGGCCCGAGCCTGCTGCACTGCTGACCGCTGACCACATTTCAGCTTTGAAGGAGACAAGTCAGAACTTCCTGAGCTTACTTCATTCCACTGGATGGGCAAGTCGCTCTTATTTGCCTCGGGACCTGCCTGCTGACTGCTTGGTGGAGGGGCTTGGTCAAAGTTGCTGGAATTGTTTCCTGAAACTGAGCTGTGATGCATTTTGTTGCTATCTAGGACACTGTTCAACAAATGGTCGTACATGCCCTGGTTCTGGGAGTTCAGATACTGGACCACGTCATCTGGCAGGAGATCCTCATCGTTCAGACTGCTACCTGCTTCCATTGTAGCAGCCTCCAGGGCGACGTTCTCGCTGATGCTCGGAGGACACGGGGAGCTGAAGCTGCGGAAGACGCCACCCTCAGAACGGGTGTAGTTCTGAAGAACAAGGTTGCGCTTTTCCATGGATGGAGGCAAAGCAGGAGTGTTAAAGCTATTAAGACTGTTGAAACGCTGGACCCTCGGGCCAGAGAGGTTGTCGGAGGCCATTCTGACTGGATCACTGGCTCTCCTTGTCCCATTTCCTAAAGCTTCGTGAGACAGAAAATGCCTCCTGCTGTAACCATTTGCCCCACCATCACTACATCTTCGAGGGACATTCACTGGAGGCAGTGGAGATACTCCAGACTCCCTGCAATCACCCAAGAGTGCCATCCTTGTCTTGAGGCTCATCCTCTCCATGTTAGGCAGTGGAGTCGGTGGGGGTCCACCAGTAGCTGCTGCATATTTAGCTTTCAGCCTGTATTGCTGGGCTGGGGTGAGGCTGAGAAGACTTGGCAGGTCATCACACTGGCTCGCTTCACTGGAGCGCCGGGAGGCATCCGTTGAGATGGGGTCGTAGGAGTCTGCAACGCTCACGTTCTGCGGTCTTCCCTCCGCCTGGGAGGCATCGCTGGACCTCCGGCTGGAGAAGCAAGGTGAGATTCCAGAGGACCTGCGGCTGCTCAGGTAGGCTGAACTGATTGTGCTGGTATTGCTGTCCCTCCTGTTCAGCATGTTCAACACAGTGATGTCCGTACTTGAGAGTTCATTCCTGTTTGGCAGAATAGTCATGGATCCTCCGACACTGCAGCTGCTGTTCGACTGGGTACCTGCGGGTAAAATTCACAGTTAAACTAAGAGGTATTATCCAGAAACTGGTGAGAAAACACACAGTAAAGATGTAAGTGGAGTATAGAGGAAGAACATCATCACAGCCAATTACAGCAGTGCTCTTTCTTGCAAGAAGTAGGGATAAAAACTGTGTCCTTAGGTTAAAAGCTAATTCGGAGACTCAAGGGTAACATTTCAGTGTGAATCCCAGCAGAAAATTTATAGCCCATAGCCACAAACTGTCATCAGCTGGTGCAGTACTCCAGCCTGCAGTGCAGCTATGCTGGCTGATGTGCCAGGAGGACACATTCGTAAGGGAGCTTTTTATAGGCAAAATATAATTGAACAGGCATTTGCATGGAATGGCAAAATATACAAATTGGAGGCTATTCAAGGTCATTTCTAATACTTCTTGAAATATTCTTGAAATAACTCCTAACAACTGCAAAACATCTTTGCTGGTTTCCTTGTTTTGTTTTGTTTTGGTTTTAAGTAAACAGGATACATTTCTTAATTTTACATAGTTTCTTTTGATTGAATGGGTCTCAGAAAACCTGGGCTGTCACTGCTGGGTGGAGCCCAGAAACCTACAGGCATGCTGTAGGCAAAGTAGGGGCAGCAGCAACATCTATTTTGGTGATGAGCAGCTCTTTGGAGGAAAACAACTGGGGATCTTCAGAGTTCAACCTTGCCTTGCTCCCATTCATGGATATCTGCCCTCTGCTGCAGTAGCACCTGTACCTATGATTTCTTCTATGTGTAGGAACAAGTTATTTAAAGGGAAGCCCACCAAATCTCTGCAAAGGCTGCCTTGCAAAGGCTCAACAGAAAGACTTCCATACAGTAAACTAACAGGTATTTATTTCTTCTACCTTGTCTCAAAACAGGACAGAATTATGGTGATCTTGGGTCAGAACCTCTACCTGTAGGGAATATTTAAAATGTGATCCATGGCTCCCTCACGGGCTCCTGTTCTGTATGATACAGGACTATCAGACATCTAAGAGGGTGTGGGTAGAAGAACTTACAATGAGGGAACAAACAGAAAGTGATCAATTTACAAACCATTTCACAGCTGCTGAGTTTCCTGAGCTGTGCAACTCCTGCAAGAGTTGCAAGATTGAGCTAGCAAGCAACAAGATTAAGGACAAAAAGCGTTATCACTCCTCTTATGTGTATCTCACCATTTCCTATGAGAGGCGGCAAGGTTGGGGCTTTGGAAGGTGGAACGGGGTTCAGTCTTGGAAGCATTCCATTAACTTGTTTCAACCTTTCTAATTTCACTTGCTCCATCCATTTGGTCCCTGTCATGTTCCTCCTGGCTTGTAAGCCAAGTGCTGTGGTGGCTGTGGAAATGGTAGAGTCCATGATTGGGGTTTCATCGATGACACTGAGGTCTCCTACACTACCACCACCGGTCAGAGAAAGCTCGATCCCATTGTTGGAATAGTTGCTGATGGGGGACTGTTCGCTGCTGCATGTAGACTGACCACCAGGGCTTGGCTGAGATGTCTGTTGGAGGGAAGTCAGAGACAAAAGAGTGTGAGAATTAAGCAAACAATGTTAACCAGAGCGTCTGTGCTAAGCGGAGCCAAAGATACAGGTATAGAGAAGTTCAGCCTTAAATGGTAACAGTGATTGTTCTTAAGGAGGCTTCCTAGATATTGGCTTCAACTGCAGTGAAGGGCATTGTAAAACACAAGACTAAA